CATACCTTGACTCAAAGCAAAGAAATGCTTTCACTCAGAAGTAAGGAAAAGAAGTAAGTAAGTAAGCTGGCTACCAAGGAAGAGACAAGAAGCATGATTTCTATGTATAGTACACAGCAGATGTTCAAGAAATATATGCCAGTAACTGGGTGAACCAATGTGGATAAGGGAGTAGTGAATCTGAAGAGTATAACGGCTTCTTCCTGGGGCGAGACAACCTCTTCCACTGTCAACCCAAAGGAAACCAGCAACAAACATAACCAGTATACCTGCTATTATCACAATTATCTTGGGATAAAGAATGTTATTTCCTGAATGTCCTGATAAAAATGCAAATAGTATTCATGGAAGGATAATACGTGTTTGTTCATCACCCAAAGGATAACAGGACTCTGAGGGGAGAGGTGTGGTTCCCAAACTCTGACCCCAGTGAGTCACACTCTGTATAATTCCCACCCTCTCCTACTGAGCGTGGGAAGGACCCGGGACTCACTTCCACCCAATAGGATATGGCAAAGAAAATGGACTGTCACTCCCCTTATAAGGTTACATTAGAGGCGTAAAACATCTTGTTTTATTGTGTTTCACTTTATTGTGCTTTGCAGCTACTGCATTTTTTACAAATTGAAGGTAAAACCCTTCACCAGCAAAGATTGTGACGAACCGAAGGCTCAGATGATGGTTAGCATTTTTTAGCAATAAGGCACGTTTAAATTAAGGTATGTACATTGTTTTATTAGACATGATGCTATTGCACACTTAATAGACTACAACATAGTGTAAACATAACTTTTATATGCATTGGGAAACCAAAAATTTGCTCCGGCCCGCGGAGCAATCAACTGGGGCTCGACCACCTACCTAGAACAAATGAGTTGGGGGGACAAGAGGCGCGAAGAATGGCAGCAAAAGATTCTGATCAAGCTGCAAACTTTATTTTTCCGAACTGGGTATATATATAGGGGGGAGGGAGAGGAAGGAGATTAGGTTGCTTGCTATTGGCTAGCTTGAGACAAAGAAGGGCCCGCTTATTGATTACTTGGGTGCAACTGGTACTGCGTGGACACTCATGTGCCTGTGCCGATTGGCTTGGGAGCGCAAGACAGGTTCCTGTAATCAATGCAATGTTTTTAGCTAGAAGCCAGGTGTAAGGTTCCCAACATCTGCTCCCCTTTTTATTACTTTGAGGGCGAGGAGAATGTAGGTAGGGGTAGACTTTAACCGGCTGGGGGAGGCAGAGGCCTGACTCCTCCTGGGCTCATTCTGAGCTTTAGGGTACCTTTTGGGAGGAGAGGAGTTGGGTACCAACCTCTTTGCAAGTCAGCTCACCTCTCAGGAGACTCGAAGTGGCCGTATGTACAGGCCTCTCCTTGCAGTGCTTTGCCTTGCACCCAGCGGTGTCTATCACAGCTACTTGGCTGTGAAGCATACCTTCGAGGGTTATGCTGCTCCTGCAGGAGGGGAACCTGGCAGGAATCGTGGGCTAGCACCCCAGCGGCTGTACGGCTCAGAGTCCGCTCCATGTTCCAGCATTTCTAATTGTTGATAGTGCACCTGAATAGGTCTTCCTAGTACACTGTTAAGTTGGTCTTTGACTAAGTTGGTTATACGTCTAAGAATCCAGGGGGCAAAGGAGAGGATGAGGGTGATAGAAACTAAAGATCCTAAGAGGGGAAGGAGGTAGGGGAGAATTCCGTTGAGTCCACCCCAAAGGGGGTGTTTGGAAAGTTCCTTTCTTCTTTTTTCTAAGTCTTCTTGTAACTGTTTTATCTTGTCTCGGACGATGCCTGATTTGTTGGCATAGAAGCAGCAGTGTTCCTGTAAAGCCAAACAGATACCTCCCTGTTCTGCAGTAAGTAAATCTAGACCTCGTCTGTTTTGAAGGACAACTTCTGCTAGGGAGTCTACTTGGTCTTGGATATCACTAATGGTACTGGACAGAGCCTGGACCTCATCAATTAGTTGTTTAAAGAGCTTTGTGTATGAATGGACTGCGACTCCCAATCCTGCAGTCCCTGTGGCAACTGCTCCAGAGACGCCTAATCCAACTAATAAGGGTATGAATGTTAATGCTCTTTTTTGTCACCCCGCAATATGGTCTAAGCTGGGAATGGGGACAGGCTCGTCTCCGGGGAGAATATCTATATCTGGTAGTAAGGTAGCCAAGACACATAGCCTGGTCCAGTTAGCGGGCAAGGCTGAAAAGGCCAGGTTGTTTCCACAAACGAATATTTGTCCATGACCTGGGCAAAGGGGGTTACTATAATTGGTTATGCTGCTACAACTAGTAAATTCTATAAAGCCAACGGGAATGTCGAAGCTATTATTTTGAGCTATGCCTTGTAAGCACGGGGAGGGTGGGAATATTGTAGGTTGTACTCTAAAAGGTAAACTAGGGTTACATTGTAGCTGTGATTTATTAAGGGTGGATATATTGACAGGAATAGCTAAAGGCATGGGGGTGCCTAGGCTCATACATAACCAGCAATCCTCGGCTAGGTAAGGGTTAGATATGTTAAGAGGTTGATGTGTGGCTATTAAAATGTCAGCAGTCTGGGTATCTAGGTCTACTCCCCGCGGTTTGGGGAGAGCTAGTAATTCAGTGGGGGGTGGATATGGTTAAATCAGTGAATTCTTTAGCCACGGCCTTGATTTCTCAAATGAGAATTAAGGCTTCTTGAATGGAGGTTTTTTGGAGAAGGGGTTTTTGGTGGATTGTCGGTGGTTCGGGGTTGTTTAGAATGGGGGCCAGAATACGGGTGGCTGCAGGCGGTAGGTTTGACGGTGCATAGGGGGGCGGCTGAAAAGCTGGGAGATCTTTAAGTAAGGGGGCAGAAGAGAGAGGAGGCCAGTCAAGGTTATTGTAAGAAGCTGCCTCTTTTTCGAGTTCGGCCTCTTCTGCTGGGTTTAATTGGTCGACATGGTTATTTGAGGAATTACGGGAAGGGTTAGGGGGTTTTTTAATCTCTTCCTCTATGTTAATAGAAATTGAGGGGCAAATTGAGGGGGCCCTCGAAGGGGGCTGAGATTGATTTTTTGAAATTTCTTGTCCCTCTTTACAGAGATTTTGGGCTGAAGGGGCCCTCAAGGGGGACCAGGATTGATTTTTTAGAACTTCTTGTCCCTCTTTACAGAGGCTCTGGACATCCGGAGAATGCCCATGAGTGACTAAGATTTCTTTAATAAGATTAAAATAACTGAAGGCGGTGGGTGATAGGGACGGTCTCGGGGCCAGAGATTCGATAATAGTCGTAAGCAATCTCCGACCCGGTTCCAACACTACGGGTCAATCGTCCCTCTTGGGGGAACCAGGGGCACATTTTGAATATAAAGTCAAAAAATAAAACTAAATCCTTTTTCTTAACTCGAGTTCCTCGCACCTTGAGAGTTTGCTTTAATTGACTTATAAAAATATCACTTTGTGAACATGCTTGTCCCATGATTGGGGGCCTTACCTGGCCGAGTTCACCGTGGAGGGGAAGGGGCTCCTGGATCTGTCTCGCGGTCGAGTAGTCGCGGCGATCCAATCTGTGCGGGGAAGTCACTGGCGGGGATGGCGCTTTGTTCCGGCGGCTTTGTTCCCGCGGCTTTGTTCCGGCGGCTATCGGGCCCCCACGTTGGGCGCCACTTGCTCCGGCCCGCGGAGCAATCAACCGGGGCTCGACCACCTACCTAGAACAAATGAGTTGGGGGGACAAGAGGCGCGAAGAATGGCAGCAAGACAAAAGATTCTGATCAAGCTGCAAACTTTATTTTTCCGAACTGGGTATATATATAGGGGGGAGGGAGAGGAAGGAGATTAGGTGTTGCTATTGGCTAGCTTGAGACAAAGAAGGGGCCCGCTTATTGATTACTTGGGTGCAACTGGTACTCGTGGTACACTCATGTGCTGTAGCGATTGGCTTTGTGGAGCGCACAGGTTCCTGTAATCAATGCAATGTTTTTAGCTAGAAGCCAGGTGTAAGGTTCCCAACAAAAATTTATGTGACGTAGTCTAATGCAATATTGCTTTATTGCAGTGGTCCTGCATTATCTCCAAGGCATGCCTACATATGACAGAGGTGACCATATATGTGTGTGTTACATACACACAGCTCTGAGCAGACTGGCGAGAGATTCTTCTATGCTGACTCTGCATGTGGTGAGATGGCCAGTTGGCAAGGAACTGTAGGCAGCCTCTAGGTGCTGAGAGGGGCTCTTGCTGACAGCTGGAAGAGCACAGGGACCTTCATCCTACGTCTCAGGAGATGAATTCTGTCAGCAAGCTGAATCAGTCTGTGTGATCTTGAGAGTCTACTGCCTGTGTCTGCGTCTGGGACCAACTCCAGTCAAGCCTTCAGATTAAGAACGCAGCCCTGCCAGTGCCTTGATTGCAGCCTATCACCCGAGCAGCAGTACCAGCTAGTCTGTGCCCAGAAACTCTGAGATGATGTGTGTTGCTTTAAGCCACTAAGTTTGTGGAAATTGTTTACACAGCAATAAAAAAAACTAATACAATGGGACAGAGAATAAAGATCCTTTGGGGAAAGAGATGAGGTTATGGAGAGTTGTCTGCAGTGCGACCTGGGGAGAGAAGATCTGGGTAAGATATTATTTTTCCTTCACTGGTTTGTCAACTATTTATTAAGGGCTGCTATCGTGTGCTGGACATTAGGTCACAGTATAAAGCTTTTGTCTCTCACACCTCATTTCTTCTTTACCCGGCAGACACAGCAGTAACATTTCCTCTCTTGACATGGTTGAAGGATAGAGGGGAAATCACAGTTGTAGAGACCTGGGCACAGGGCCAGACACTTTTTATACACTGTCTCATCATCATCACAATGACCCTTATGGTCAGTATTAATCTGATCGTTTCACAGATTAAAAAAACTGAGGTCACAGAGTGGTGGCGCTAGGATTCTAAGAAATTAAGTTCCCTCCTATTCTGAGCTGGGTTAGAATTTGTGCAGGGAAAAAAAATCAGGTCATCTGAGCTCCTGTGGCCTACTTTACCAAGCAGCCTCCTCCTCCTCTCCTCAGAAACACATTCTTTAAAGAATTAAAATATTATGCATTAAAAAAATACAATCTGTAACTTATGGCAATTTTAAAATGAAGTAAATGTTGTGTACCTTTTTAACTTTCCTTTGTCAGCACATTCTTTCCTTTTAACTACGACAATGTTAGACTATCCCTTCAAACGCTTTCTAAATTCAAATCTGGTACCAATGCTCCTTTCAACTGCACTCCATTCCAGTGCTGTGAGGGTTCAGGGGAACAGTGCAGATAAAGTGTCTGGTCTTTTCTTCTATACAAAGCTTTGTGTTCTTTTCTTTTCATTTAACATGTTAACAGTCAGAGTCCTGACAGGAAACAGCACTTATTCTGATGGCTCAAATGAAGAGTCATTTAGTGAAGGGTGATTTACTGAAATGCAGATAAGCTGAAGGGGTCCAGCAAATGATGCTGAGGCACCCAGGAGCTGGCCATAGCAGGGAGCTGTTACTGTTGCAGGAAAATGAAGCAACCAGACACCGAGGGTTTCTGGAGTATGAGGTTTATTAACGTGTATGGGCCCATAGGAATCAGTCTCCAAATTCTGAGCCCCGAACAAAGGGAAAGTAGCCGTTTTATAGAGTGGGGGGGAGGCCTGTGTTTCAGACCAAAGCGGGAGATAATTTACAGAAGCAGAAAGCAGAGCGCTTCACTATCTCTGGTATGCAGGTGATAAGCTAGAAGAAACAAGGTAAATCACTGGGCTGTTAAACATCCAGGCTGTAAAAACAGTCCCCTAATTGCTGTGCTATATTTTAAAATAGCTACCAATTTCCCCCAACATTACCACCTTGGCTGAAAGGGCAAGAAAGTAAAATGATGGTACCAGAGCCCAGAGGAAGCCGTGGGCTTCAAGTAGGGATGCCCAGCAGCAGCCACAGTCCTAGAGGTGCTGAGACAAGGAGAGTGAAGACAACCCGACCTCTCCCTCCTCCTACCCTTGCATCTCCTGCTGGAGTCCTCAGTGGTTGAATCCAATTCAGCTGGGAGGCAAGGGAGTCAGGATAGAGCAGTCTGCTGGGGTTGACTTCCTGGGGTGCACAACAAAGCAGAAAATGCTTCTGCAGGGACAAAGGGGGAAGAATTAGCACATAGCACATTATATTATGATTGCTATGCCAGGTCATTAAATATCCTTTGTATCCTTTGAAGACAGAATTCTTTTTTAAAAAGGTTTTATTTATTTTTAGGGAGAGGGGAAGGGAAGGATAAAGAGAGGGAGAGAAACAGCAATGTGTGGTTGCCTCTCATGTGTCCCCCTATTGGGTGGGTACCCAGCCTGCAACCTAGGCATGTGCCCTGACTGGGAATTGAACTGGCAACCCTTTATCTCATAGGCTGGTGCTCAAGCCACTGAGCTACACCAGCCAGGGCTAAAGACAGTATTCTTAATGGCTAAGTAATATTTCATCATTTGGTGGGTCTACAATTTATTATTAGTAGTAGCTGTGATACTGAGAGACCTGATCAGATCACTGGGGAGGAATAACGAGGGTTAGAGAGGGGTCCTAGGAGGTGTTTGCCCAGGGTAATGGTAAACAGCCTAGGACAAGATTGGCTGAGAAGCTGAATGCCTTCAGAGCACATGGAAGATTGCTTATGGGCCAGAAGATTTGAAAGAAAAGAAGGGCTCTCAGGCTGCCTCTCTCTGGCCTTCTTCCTCCTCGAGGATATCTGGATGGTTATGCTGTGGCTGGCTGCATTTCCCAACTGATGGTATTTTTGGATGGAAGAAACTCCAGGCACAGCCCAGGGTCTGGCTGGGCTGCCAAAGGGGGGCAGGGCTATTCTTCTCTGGGTGTTTTGAGGGGACAGGCCCTGAGGCAGAAGTCTGCCATTCTTACAAAATTGTGTTGCTTTTGCATCTCATGTTGTTTTAGTTTGTAAACTAACCCTATAGAAATAAGAAAATTAAAACTAACAGGGAATGACAGGAGAACTCAGGTGTTAAGAGCTTAGCCTTAATTGTTAGGTTTAAGTGATTAAAGCTGTAACTAAAGAGTGAGTTTGGCTTAAGTGACTAATGCATGTGGAAAGCTGTTACTCCAAAACTGGGAAGCTTTAGAATAAAGACTCCTTTCCTTTATCACCAAACCTTTGCCTCTAGAATTTTGCCCAGAGGGTGGCAGAGGGCAGCAGGATGCTAATTCCTGATTGGTAAACAGCAGTAGCAGCAGCAGTAATATTAGTGGAGGCTTAGATTGCTTTCTGTTCAATTATTGCAAGGGTTATCTTTGCCCATAATTATTCTTCTACACCTTTCATTTTTAGTGACGCAGTTCATGGAGGTCTCTCCAAGGAGGCTTGGAGGTCTAGGTGAGAAACACCAGAAGCCCAGCTGGTCAGGAAGGTGGGGTAGTGATACAGGGTGCGGCCAAGGGGGGGGGGTAAAAAGATTTGGAACGGTGTCCAGAATTCAAAGTGTATAGGAATATTGGAGAGACATATAAGATGTCCTCACCCCCCCCAAGGGACAAATGGACCAGGGCCATTGAGAGCTGTTTTGCATAGCAACAGTTTTGCAGCTAACCTCTGAAATGATTTTTTAACATATCTATAACTTTAACTGGCTTCATAGATACATTAAATAGCTTTGGCCAAGTTTCGAGCTGGGGAGAAGGGAGTGGTGGGTATCCAAGATGTAACGAGGGGCTGTGCCCCCGAGTGAAAAGGCCTGCGTTAGAGCTTGGAAAAGATGGGCTCCAGGACATAAGGCAATAACTGCCCAGGTGAAAGGGAAAACCACGCAGCTTTGCCAGAATGGAGATCCCTGCAGCCAGGTGAAGAAGAAAGCCACATGCTTTTGGTGGAATATGAACCCCTGCAGCTTTGGTAGAAGAGGCCCACGCTTTGGGGTGCCCCCTTTGGCCGAGTGGACTGGAAAGCAACAGAGACTTTGACTGGAACTGGGTACAAAGAACTCTTGCCAGTGCACCATGTGAGGGTACCACAGTACTTTGGATTAACTAGAGAGAGATCCTGCACAGTGACACAGCTGATGGTGCCAGTGGCCTGCAACACAGACATGTGCTCTTTTCGTGATTTACGGTACCCGGAGTTGGGACAGTGGGAGAAGGGAGTGCTGTGTGGGTGTAGGTGTATACCCTAAAGGACTCTGATATTTTAGTGGAGGTGTTAGGCCTAAATAGCATTAAATATTTTGTTTCCTTTTCACAAATCTCTGGCATTGAGAGATGTCTTTCCAATTGGCGGCAGACAGAAGAGCCCAGTAGATATTAGTATTCTGCCTGGGGGGGGGGCCTGTTGTGTAGCAATATTTGGCATCCCTAGGTGGGCCAGATATTGCCCCTCCACCCCCCACCCCCTAGACCTCTTGTTCGGTAACAGTAGGACAAAATGGTGGCTGAACTACAACCCGGAAAAAACGGCTGAGGTCAACCCAGAGAGCCGAAAGGGCAGGCTCTATCCGCATAGCAACCTGAGCCACCAATGATATATTGCCACTTTGTTCAATGGGGACCAATCCCCAGCTCCCACAGAGAGAGCCAACCAGAATAAAACCCCGCCATATTCCCTGCTTGGGTGTGACTTCTCCAGCCTCACTCTGCGGACCAGAGAATCTTGCCTGGGTGCACAAACCCCAATAAAACTTTATACTGCGTAACTTTGTGGCTGATTGGCCTTTCTTCCTTGACAGAGCCTAAGAAAACCTTCCACAGCCATTCCAGGGTCCCTGGAAACTATTTTGGGCCATTAAGTCCTAACCTTGCTTTGCCCATTTGCAAGTCAGGAGAAGGCTTGGTAAGTACCTGAAAGAACAGTTCTTCAGAAAATGCAAGGCTGGGCTCAGGGCTGAGGGAAAGTGGAGGGACACTCAGGGCTGAATCTGTCACTCACAAATGTGCCCACTCCCTAGAAAACTATTAAGTGCCAGGAGACTCAGAATTCTGGGCTTCCACCTACCTTTCTCCCTGGGGCTCCTGGGCCTTGGGCTGTGGTGAGCTTGCTCCCTTTGCTGGCCAGCCACAGCATCCTCAAAAAAGTGTCCAGCTGGACTCCTGCAGTCTTGTGCATCATACCTGTGTAAGAGGGTGGTGCCATGGGCCCCAAAAAGGATTTGCAATGGGGTCCAGAACTCAGGGTGTCCAGAAAATATTAAAAATATGGGATGTCCTCACCCCCACAAGTCTGAGCTGGGGGATGGGATACATGGAGTAGGGCCACTGAGTTGTTTTGCATAGCAACAGTTTTGCAGATAACCTCTAGAACAGTCATTTAACATATCTATAACCTTTAACTGGTTTCATAGATATGTTAAATAGCTGTGGCTTTGCTTTGAGCCAGGGAGAAGGGAGTGACTTCCACCCAAGATGTAATTGGGAGGCAACTCCCCCTGGTTACAGAGCCCGTGTGAGAGCTTGGAGATGATTGGCTCCATGGGCAAGCCATGGGGGCCATGCCTGCCCAGACTTATTATGGCAACCCAGAAAAGCTGGAAAATGTGGAAGTGCAGGCAAGTGTAGCTGATTGTGGGAGGAGTCAGTAATGGGGCTGCAGAGGAAGATTAGAGCTGGGATTTAAACCCAGGGGCAGCAGCCATGACAAGAACTGCCATGTGGCTTTAGCAGAAAATTGCCACGCAGCTTTGGCAGGAGAGAATCATGCGGCTTTGGGTCTCCCTTTGCCATGCAGGTGAGGAAGCCAGAAAGCAAGATGTAGCAGTGATGCCGAGCTCTCTCTTAGCAGTTTGGAATAATGCAGGAGACACTGCAGGAAGGAAAGGGGTGAAAGGACTCTTGCTGGTGGCCCATGAGAAGGTGTCATTTGGTTTTCGGAATAAGAACTGGAGATCCCAGTGACACAGCTGATGGTGCCGAGAACCAAGGGAGGACTACCAGCCGAGCACGGATTACTGGGAAGAACCTGGGGCTGCCCGACCCCTGGACTTCTATTTCTTCTCCTGAGATATGGTACCCCAGACTGGGCAAAGGTGGGAAGGAAGGACTGTGTGTGTTTGTGGGTGTTTTAAGGGACTTTGGGATTTTGATGAAGACATTAAGTCATTACTCTTAAGTTTGTATAACTTGAATAAATAATTCCTTTCCTTTTCACCAATCTCTAACATGGAGAAGTATAATTCTCTGGTGAGGGGCAAAGTGAACCTAGTATGGGGGACCCCAGGAGAAGGGGGGATCCATTTGGTAACATTGTGGAACCCCCTTCCCTCATGGCCATTCAGGGAAAATCATGGGAGACCACATGTGCAATAGCTTTAAAGTAATACTGTTACCGAACAAGAGGTCCGAGGGAGGGGCAATACAATATTTGGCCCACTTAGGGATGCCCAAAACTGCTATACAACAGGGGCCCCTCCCGAAAACAAAAATACTAAAATCTACTGGGCCCTTCTGTCCGCCGCCAATTGGAAAGACATCTCTTAAAGCCAGAGATTTGTGAAAAGGTAACAAAATGTTTATTTAATGCTATTCAGGCCTAACGCCTCCACTAAAATATCAAAGTCCTTTAGGGTATACACCTACACCCACACAGCGCTCCCTTCTCCCACTGTCCCAACTCCGGGTACCGTAAATCAGGAAAAGAGCACATGTCTGTGTTGCAGGCCACTGGCACCGTCAGCTGTATCACCGTGCAGACAGGATCTCGAGTTAATCCAAAGTACTGTGGTACCCTCTCATGGTCCACTGGCAAGAGTTCTTTGTACCCAGTTCCAGTCAAAGTCTCTGTTGCTTTTCAGGCCCCGCGGCCAAAGGGGGCACCCCAAAGCCGCGTGGGCCTCTTCTACCAAAGCTGCAGGAGTCCGCACCCCACCAAAAGCATGTGGCTTTCTTCTTCACCTGGCTGCAGGGATCTCCATTCTGGCAAAGCTGCGTGGTTTTCCCTTTCACCTGGGAAAGAGGGGGTCCACACCCTGCCAAAACCACGTGGCTCCCTCTTTCACCTCACCAAGAGGGGGTCCTCACTCTGCTGAAACCGCGTGGCTCTCTCTCATCTGGCCAAGTGGGGACCCTTCATGTCTTGGAGCCAGTCTTTTCCAAGCTCTCCCCTAGGCGCTCTCACTCCGGAGCGCAGACCCTAGTTACATTCTGAGGCCAAGCCCTTCTCACTCAGGAGCGCAGCTCCTAGTTCCATCTTGAGTCCTCCCAGTTCCATCCTGAGTCCCTGCTAGTTCCTTCTCACTCAGGAGTGCAGACTTTAGTTACATCCTCCTGAGTCCCAGTCCACTCACTCAGGAGAGCAGCCCTTAGTTACATTCTGAGTCTCTTCTCCCTCAGGAGTGCAGCTCCCAGTTCCCATCTTGAGTCCCTGCCACAACCTTCTTCCTCAGTCCTTGCTTGTTCCATCTTGAGTCCCCCCACTACTCCCTTCTCCCTGGCTCCAAACTTGGCCACTGCTATTTAACATTATCTATGAAACCAGTTAAAGGTTATAGATATGTTAAATAACCATTCCTCCCGAGGTTAGCTCCAAAACTGTTGCTATGCAAAATAGCTCTCAATGGCCCTGGCTCTATTCTTTCTTCCCCCTGTGGTGGGGGGGGGGGGTGAGGACATCTTATATGTCTCTCCAATATTCCTATACACTTTGAATTCTGGACACCTTTCCAAATCTTTTTTGGGGGGCCCCCCTGGCTGCACCCTGTATCAATTCAACTACTTGTACATGCATAGTAAAAGCCTGCCAAAACTAGCCAGGAAGGATCCGCCCTATGAGAATAGAGTCCCTCCAGCCTGTGAGGTCAATGTCTGCTTAGAATCAGCCTGCTCCCATGTTCTCTGCTATAAACTCTGGGTGTTCAGTTCACTTCTTTGTTCTGATCACCAAGAACCTGGTTAACTGTGCCCACCTGTGACACCTGGCGCACAGTCATCAGTATGGTACCCAGGCTCTGGGACTACCATGCTGAAAAGTTCCCAATGGGCTTTGAGCACCCAAGGGATGTTTGCCTTCCTGGGATGGAAAACTGTCTTGGTTAGAACAGGATGTCTTGGACACTGGTGGAAATTTAAACTGGCATACCTACCAAGAACCTTCATATTTCTGATTGGCCTCACCTCCTCTGGGAAGCCTTCCATGGCTATACTCCCAACCTCCAGTGTAATCTATATACCCCTTTCTCCAGCTTCTGCAGGATTTTTGCTTGTCTCTGACTCAGGTGAACAAAAGTTAACTTTATTTTGCTCTAATTTTTAACATTTCTAACTCCAATTCTGCCAAGAAATTGTAGTAACTTGATTTTAACCATTTCAGGGTTTCCTCTATGCTCTTTTTGTGGGATTATGAACTAAAGGAGGTGGAGGCAAGAGGGAACGCCTACATAGCCATAACACAAGGGATGTGGGCAGCCATGAGGCCTCTGTCATCTGTCCTCAGGCACTTGCTGAGATGCCCCTGGGCAGCAGCTAGGGAGCCCCCATGGAGATTCCCTGCATTTCTGATTGAAGACTTCTTCACTGGGAACCCCTCTGAGACCCTTGTTGCACAGGAGCAGTGGATTTTCTGAAAGAATAGCTAAGAAATAGAAAAAGCCACTCACTTTTCAACCTCTCCCTTCCCCCTACCTGGTGCCTCCCTGGAAATGAGAGTTGCTACCCTCTGCTCTCACATCCCATTGCCTTCCTGTGTCACACCCCAGGGGCCCAGTTCAGAAAGCAGGGCTCAGAGCCTACCTTTGAACCCCTCCCCATGACTCGCCCCCTTCTCACAGGCCTGAGAATCTTAACTGGAGCAGGAAACTTTGCGCTCATTCCCCAGCAGTTTCCTCTCAGATCTTTTGTCCCTGCCCAAGTGACTCTTCCCCTAACAATCTGGGAGGACTTTTGAAAAAGAAAAGCCAGGAAGTGACTGCTTTTATTTTGCTGCTCTATATTTTCCAGAAGGAAAGAATCCTGGCTTAACTGGGGAGAAAAAGGGAAAGGGAAGTGAGAAAATGGAGGAGAAATTATCTAATGTTTTAGTAGTCATGCCACGGCATACCCTGCACTTATTCTCGTCTTACCTGTCCTCACCCTCCTGTCCCAGGATAGGGGTGGCTCTCAGGTGGAGGAGGAGGCAGTGTGCCCTTGGTGGCAGGTCCTGTTCCCCCCGGCACTGTCCTGGCCTGTGGCACGTCCTCAATGTAGGCCATCAGTAAGGATCTTAAGACAGAAAGAAAAAGCAAAGATGTAATCCAATCCCAAAAGGGAGAGGCTTGGAGAAAAACAGAAATCTGCCAGGAGAAAGGGCCTTTAGAGAAATGAACACTTCAATAGGAACTGGGAGACCTGTGTGCAGGGAGATCTTAGAAATGATGCTTCCACCTTATTTGGGGCAAGTCCTGCCACCGAGTCTGGGAGGCAGAGGGAGACAGAATAAATCGTGGTCTTTGCAGTTGACCCTGCCCTATGAAACAGCCTACTGAGGGGTGTGACCATGGGCGGTCACTTAACCATTCCAAAGTCTCACTTTCATCTGCGAAGAATATGCATACTGCAGTGCTGTTGTTGAGGATTAAATGAGAATTGGTGTGAAAGTGTTTTCAGTGAATGGCACCAGGTGTTAGAAAGGTGGAGTCAGACTGGACCTTGGTTTAGCAACCTTGGTATTTGAACTCTGGCTAAGAAGGAATTCAGAACCAACAATAAAACTTGTAAGAGAAAGTTGATTTAGAAAGTCACAGAGGTAGAAGTGAGCCATAGCAGGAATGGACTCAGTAAACAAGTTACAGAGGCAAAAGAAGGGACCTTGTGTTACCAGGAGAGACCTGGTTCTTATGGATGCTGTAAAGAATTACACATCAGTGAATCTAGTAGTGTGCAAGTAGGGTTTATTGGTAATATGTTCTCATGGAATAGAATGGGCCTTGTTGAGGTGGGGCTGAAAGGTTTTCTTAAGCTCTGCTGAGGAAGAAATGCCAATCAGCCACAAAGTTAGGCAGTATAGAGCTTTATTGGGGTTTGTGCACCCAGGCGACGTTCTCTGGTCCGCGGAGTGGGGACGGGAAGTCGCGCCCAAGCAGAGAATGTGGCAGGATTTTATTTTGGTTGGCTCTCTTTGTGGGAGCTGGGGATTGGTCCCCTTTGAACAAAGCAGCAATACATCATTGGTGGTTGCTAAGTGGATATCCGTCTTGGCAAAGCCACCCTTTCGGCTCCCTGGTTTGACGTCAGCCATCTTTTCCGGGTTGTAGTTCGGCCGCCATTTTGTCCTACCCTGCTCATCCTGACAGGGGTGGGGTGGAAAGGCATTGGTTTAGGGCAAAGCAGGATAAGGACAGCCAAAGGCTGTGGCAGCAAGTGTGGGGGGGGGGGCAGAGCAGGGCTGGGGGTGGCCAGAGTGAGTTCTTCGTTCTGAGGACTTATACCAGCTTTGGAGGGGGAAGGAAGGGCATGAATACCTAAAGGTGTTAATGGACTTCTTCCTTTGGGCACTCTGAGCCCTCACATGCCTTTCAGGCCTTCAGATGAAAGCCCAGTTTCAAATACATTCTTTCCTAGATAGTGGAAATGCTGCATAGAATTTCAAGGGCTTCCTTCCTTCCTGCCATTACTTCTCCCATGGCTCCTCATTCTACCTTAACTTTCTTCCCTCAAGTAATGGGAACCCAAATCTTTGGGAACTTTGGGCTCAGGATAGCTGGGTTAGTGGGTGAGGCATGCCTCCCTTCTCTTGCCTGTCTTGTTTGCTATTTGTCCTACCTAATGCTTGGAATTTAGGAGAGAGAAAAATAAAGCAGGCAGGGGGATAAGGAGAAGGGGAGGAGAAAGGTGCGGGTGTGCTACGCGGGATGCAGTCACCCTGGGTCCTCCATCTTGAGAGTATTTGTCAGGAGGTACTGGAGAGGATCTCCACAGAATATTCAATAGTTTTCCTGGTGTGTCCTCTTAGGGTCATGGTCTCTACTGATTGGTCAGTGCCAGGGCAGGGGGTCATTAGTCACTGCAGCTGGGCCTGCTGTCAGCTCTGCCATCACTTGTCCGGTTTTGCAACTTTCCTGGGCCTGGAGCTGACACAGCTGAGGCCTAGGTGTTATCCCTAGGGGTTAGTGTTTAAGGGCTATTCCCCAGCCTCCTTCCTTGTTCCCCTTCTAAAGGGGTCTAACCCACATGACTAACAACATGGGGTGGGAGGAAAGATCAGGGGAGGGTCCAAACAGCATCACCAGCAATATGCTGGGGGAGGAAGGGGCTGATGTAGTAGTGTGTTAGATACATGTGAAGATGCTACCGCTCCCAACTGGGTGGTTACTGTGAAGTGAGTGACAACACTAGCAGCTCAGTCCTCCTGGGATTTACAGGGCTCTCAATGGTGACCTCAACAGCTGTTCACTCAGTCCCACCCTTCCAGGGCATGGAACCTTGGGTCAGATTTAGTCTCTGAGCATCGATCTCTGCCCTCATGCTCTTGAAAAGCTGGGATTTCTGGCCACTGCCCCATCCAGGCTGTCCATTTCCCAATCATGAATTTATTCACTGTGTGCCTCCTTGGCCAGGCCCTGAAGGAGGGTCTGTGGACCTGGAGATGGGGTGGTCCAGGCCTGCAGCCCCTCTCCCTGGTCCCACCTGCTCCCAGGCCTGAGCCTGCCATGAGACTCATGGCACCTGGTCATCTCCTATTCAGTGAATCAAGCAGTCCCAGGGTTCAGGCCAGGCTGGGTGTGGTGAGAAGGGTGTGGTTGCAGGGCCAGCCCCCCTCCTTTTATAAACCAGATGCTAAAGTTTCCTGAGGTCACACCTCCACTGGGGGCAAAGCCAGGACTCAAAGCAGGTGCGTGTCCGAGGCCATGCCCCTTTTTACCATATCTCACATAAACTCTATAAATCCACTCTCTTCTAAGGTGAAACAGAATAATTTATATTCAATTTACCTCACCATACTGTTGTAAAGTAAAAAAATATATATATATATATATGTATGTATGTGTGTGTGTGTGTGTGTTTGTAAACTAATTAGTGCCTCTGGACTTGTCCCCAGCACCTTGCACTGTGACTGTACATAGTGGGTGCTCAGTAAATGCTTTTGGGGTGGGTTACTCTTGGGCTTACAGGGTATCCTCTTCTCATGGTGCCTTTTTTAAAAATGTATATTGAATTCTACTTAAAAAAAGTTTCATTTATTTTATTTTTAGAGAGAGGGCAAGGGAGGGAGAAAGAGAAGGAGAGAAACAACAGTGTGTTGTTGCCTCTCGTAACACCACCCACTGGGGACCTGGCCCACAACCCAAGCATGTGCCCTCACTGGGAATCAAACTGGTAACCCTTTGATTCACACACTGGTGCTCAATCCACAGAGCCACACCAGACAGGGCTCATGGTGCTGTCTTCTGGCCTGCTTTTGCTCTGCTCTCCTCTCACCTAAAGTGCCAGGTGCTCAGCCAGGTGGCCTAGATGTAGGAAGGAAGGCTCTACCCTTCTCCAAGAGACATTCACAGCCCAGTTGGCAGAGACTGACAAGGTACTAGACAAAATGTGGTGTGAAAAGTGCATGGCAGAGCGTGCCAGGCTGCCATGGGAACCGAGGGGGGCTTGTTCATTCTTGTTCACAAGAATGAACACAGCTCCTTACATCTGTGCATTGCTTTCAGCTTTTCAAAGAAATGGGTGTGAAGGGCGGGGGTGGGAGACAGAAAATTGAGAAATGGAGCTTTCCCAATCCTTTTGTTCACATTCCAGGATTATCACCTTTGCTAAGCTCTTTCAATGGAGAAAAAAAAGAAAGACACAAAGACACTCACCCACTGATAAACGAAGCATTTTTAGCAGCTCTGTATCACATAGTCATTGCTTGGTGTTTGTTTTTTAGCAAAGCTTTGCAGCATCAGCTGACAATGGCTGTAAAGGCCTAAGCATTTAGAATCTGCAGTACTGCTTCCAGTGAACAGAATGATCACCTCCTATTAATGAGCCACTCACAACCCCCTTCTAGTTTAGTGCGCACATTACATGAATTGTCTAAGCAGAGTGAGTTTAACCCTTGTGGTGGTTTGGCTCTTAAGTGTGGTATTGCAGCAGGAGGGGGTAGATAATTAGGTGGTCACAAATAACCCCGAATCTGCGCCGCAAAACCACAGAGCTTACTTTTGCTTCCACTACATCTCTGTCCATGGGTTGCCAGGTCTCTGCTCTATGCCATCCCCACTTGGAGACCCAACATCAGGAGGCCCATGGAACAAGGGAAGATGGAGACCTCCTGGCTCTTGAATTCTTTCATATGGAAGTGACCCTGCCATCTATCAAAACCACTGGCTAGAGTGGGTCCATGTGTTCATGCCTACCTTCAAAGGGGTAGGGAGTAGCTGGGGACAGAACCTGGCCCACCGTGATGTTCACACAGGTGGCAAAGAGCGTAACCCACTCACAGTGTGGTCTCCATCCTTGCTAGTCAATTAGGGTCTCAGGAGTTTTCAGGGCCCACTATATATGACCACCTCTCTCCCCACATCTCTGCTTTGACTACCTGAGAGAGAACGTGATGGGACCAGGGAATTAATATCACCCTTATTTGTGTTAGACTTCCAAATGCTGCCTGGGGCAAGACTGTCTGTGATTGTGCTGTGCGTGTCTGTGTGTGTATTCTTCAAGGCTCCTGCTGGTGTGCGTGGGTGGGCCACTTGGTTTCTGCAGGAGACCTTTGCTTCCTTCAGGTGTGGCCCAAGCCTTTTCCCCACAAGGGGTTGCATGGATTGAGAGACTCCACTCCTCAGGTATTTAAAGAACATTAACGTAAATGCTGGCTTATCTAAAAGCAGCGATTCTCAGACTTTAGGGTACACACAAATCACCTCGGGGACAAGCTTGAGGTGCATCTTGAAGCTTGAACACTGCAGCTTCCTGCATCTTGCACACAGTCTCATTCAGTGATTCTCAGGTAGGCCTGGGAATCTGCATGTAACGAGTGTCCCAGGTGGTTCAGAGCTTCCTTTTCTGAAAGCTGACTTAATTTCACTCTCCATCTTTCTCTCCTTGGAGGAAGTTTTACAAATAACCAAATTTTCAGAAGAGAGAACTCAGGACAGCATCGTATCATATCCCTATACGACAAAGCAGTGAGTCAGTGACTGAAATGCTCCCGTTGGGGCTCCTGGGGACCCCATGTACTACTGCTTCAAATACGTTCAACTAGAATGCCCCAGCAGGGAAGTGGGGCTCCCTGTGCTCTCCAGGAAGCTTTGTCACTTCACCAAAGGGTGTCGCTGTCTCAGCTGGAGAAACCCTAGGCATCCCATCCTTTCCCAGGGAGGCTCCAGCCTCATTAGAAGAGCACTGGCTTTGCATTAGGGCTCCAGGGGTCTCATCCTGGCCCTACCAGCTGTAGCTGTGTGTCCACAGGCAAGTTACTTAACCTCTTGAGCTGCTGCTTCCCATCTGAACCAGGGGACTAATATCTGCTTTTCTTCAATGGGTTTTTGGCGATTAAACAAGGCAATGTAAGGAAACAGCCTTGCACAGAGCAGCTGCTCCCTGCATGGGAGCTGTGATATTGTTCTGTGGTGGGAGTTCCGTAAGGGACTGGGCAGAACAGGCCTAGGGCAAGACTTCCTGTGAGGGACTGGGGAAATGTGAAAGCTCTGCTCACCTTGGTGAGCACTAAAAGCCACCTCTGCTGAGGACCAGCCCACCGTCAGCCCAGCCAGGGGAACATGGGCCCAGCACTGTTATAAGGGGCCACGAACCTGTGGCTACAACACCACAGTGACTCCTCCTTAGGCCACAGGGCATCCTGCTTGTTGGTGTCCTTGGTTGTCTCTAGGCTTCCAGCTTTTGCCTTTCCCCTGGGCTGTTAGTACTGCCTTCCTCAGGTTAATGTAACCTCAGAATAATTTAGGAAATCTTCCCTTGCTCAACTGAAGTTCTTAATATGAGGCAAAACAAAACTGATTCATATGTATGCAAGCATTTCCCCAACAGCTGTCACTGGCTTACCCAGCAGATGGCTTCTGACATTCATTTGGCTGGCAGGAAGAGCCTTAGGTGCTGGATCCAACCTGGATCAAATGGGAGTTAGGACATGAAGGAAGCTCTGGGTCTGCAGTTAGAAGGCAGGCCAGGGCCAGACCAGAGCAGCTGTGGCCCAGCTCCGGAGTGGCTCTGAGAGCCTGTGCCTCTGCAGCCTGGGCCCCCCACCCGTGCTTCCTCTGCAGGGGCTGAGTCCAGACCTCAAGGCTGGAACACCTTCCTCCCCAGGGTCTGGCACAGGACAATCAGTGTGCCATTCAGCTGGTCTGGACCTGGGGATTGCTGCCTGAGGGCGGCCTCCAGCTGCTACTATGAGCAATGACAGAAGGTATTAGGGGCCACTTTGTAGGTACCTTTTCCAGAAGGAACAAAACTGGGGTTCAGAGCCCTTGCCACAGCAGCCTCTCTCCTGTGGGCCCCTGAGAAATGTGGGCTGAGCTGACTGTTACAGGCCAGCACCTCTGGGTCTGCCCACTAGTCACGCTCCTTGACTTCCAGCACAACTCAGTCATGTATTCTGCAAACGCTTCCAAATACCAACTCTAACAGGTACTGGGAATAGGGGGTAGGAAAGGCCCTGTTGCCCTTGGAGAGGTTCCCAGCTGGTGGGAGGGTGGGGAGTCAGACATGAGAATAAAACTCAGCCGGGGAGGGGGGGGCAGGGGGGCTGAGAACATGGTGGAGGGCAGTACTGCCAGCCCTGGCTTACGTCACAATCACCTGAACATTTCCAAAGGTGCTGCCCGGGCCACTTCCCAACCATCGAGCCTTGCTTAATGAAGATCTACTCATTTCCTCAACGTGTCACTGTGCCAGACACTGCTCAAAGTGCGTTACAGATATCAACTCATTAAATTCTTAAAAAAACACCCCAGGAATGGGCATTATCATTATTACCATTTATAGATGGGGAAACTGAGGTACAGTGAGAGTGGGTAACATGCTCAGGGGCGTAAGCTGCAGAGCCAGGATCTACCCATGTGTCTGGTCCTGAGGCAAAGGCTGCCTAGAGTGGCACAGACTCGCACCCTGGCCAATGGCACCCCAGTGGACCCAGCCTCCTGGGACCCTAATTCTGCCTCTTTCCTGCCCCAGTAAATTGACAGAGACACATTTTAGGCCTGCGGGACGGCTCACAAACAATGGGAAATAGCAGGGGCCTCCCATGTTTAGCTCTGGGACTGGTTCAGGAAAATTAAGTTCGGGGTCCAGGAAAGTGAGGGGGTCCCTCTGTTGGGAAAAGGGCTGGGACCTTCATCTTTTTACATGTGAAAGATGGGGGGGAAAGTTCTTAAGGTCTTGGAAAACCGAGCCTGTGAGCAAAGGGTGTCCACCTGACTGTGCAGTGTGAAAGCGAGCAGAATCACAGCCAGGCTGTTTCATGTCCTTGCCTGTCCAGCTGGTCAGTGTCAAGGGGTCAGACTCTGGCAGGTCTTGTTTGATGACATCAGTAAAATCTACAATAAACCAGAGGGTCTGACTTACGAAGCAGTGACACTGCTGTCTGTGTGCTCTGTGGGTGCTTGTCCCCCTACCTAATTCCACGTGGCTCTGGCACCAGTTTGTTCCTTAGGCAAAGGAACCAGTGGAAGGCCCCCCAGCCCTGCACCATGTCTGGCAGGTGCTCACAGCCATCATGCACAGTAGGTGGGATGAAAGGGAGGGTGAGAACATGTGTCTGGAACCACTGATATGATTTGCCCTTGATTTATAGCAGGGAGCAGGGCCTTTTAGGGAACAAATGCTCTAAGGGGCTGGATTGGAGGAACTCCACAGCCAGGTAGGCTATGAGTCCAGGTGGCTCAAGCAGTGCAAAAATAAGCTTGTGCTCCCAGGCCTACTAGATTTCAGCAGGGTTGAACTGGAGAGGCAGAGGGAGCGGCACACTTGAGGAAGGAGTGGCAGGATCCAGCCCACAAACACTGGTACTCACCTCCATTAGTCTTTGCTCTGAACAACAATCTTACTCATTCTTTTTGGTCAGGAAGCTCTCGAGCATCCTGGTGGGTTAAAGGCTTCAATCATCATCATTATTACCGTTCTCACTAAGAACAATAACACTGTCTTTCCAAAGAGGCATAATCAAGAGGAAAGATACCTCAGGAGACAGAGAATGTGACTTAGCATCTGTGAGTTCTGCAGGGAGAGAAGGGGCAGGGGGGGCACCCCAGACACCCAGCTGTCAAGCCTAAACCCAGGAGACATTCCTGACCATTGAATTCTGGCACGGCTCCCACACACTGCAGACCCAGTGCACCGTCACCGTTCAACAGTATTACCTCCTAAATGTAGCCTGGGTCCTGCTTCTTTTCATCTCCACTGCCACTGCTAAGTTAGGCCACCATAATCTACCCTGTTACTACAATGGGCCCTTCCCCAAACGGTCACTCTGCTCGCCCTCAACCAATTGTCCATACTGGAGTCATTTTCTAAAATCCAAGCATTACCATGGCCTTCGCTTACTATAATATTCTCAAAGGCTCCCACTGCAGTTACAATAGACTCTGAATATCTCACCATGGCCCACAAGTCCCTATGTCCTCTGGTTCCTGCCAGGACCCTCAGCCCCATATCCCCCCATTCCCTTCCTTGTATTCTATGTCACCATGCTGGGTTTTATTCTTTGACGGTTGGACCAGTTATTAATTTATTGCCTCTCAATTTCAAAGCCATCATCCTTCATCGTCTGCTCTGAGAAAATGGAGATGGACACTCTAAACATTTCTCCCTAGATGGCCCGGTGTTTAATTTTTTTAGTACAGGGTGCTGGATGGACACAGAGGCAGGAGTGGATTTTTCTCTTCCTGGCTCGTGTGCTCCTTTTGCCAGGCTCTTGCAGGGCAATTTCTCCAGCACCAGCTCCTCCACAGTGTTGGAACCCTGCAGCTGCCCTGGCTTCCCCAGCAGCTGCAAGGCAGAGCACCACTGCTGAGGTCCCTCGCCAAGGACCCCAGCACTCCCGCAGGTGGCTTTGCACTGAGTGCCAAAGTGGGGCACCTGCGGTGGGTGTCTTCCCTATTACCCCAAACAGGGTATTTCCAGCAAGTTATGCAAGTGTAGCATCTGACTAGCACCTTCGCCATACCATGAGCCATGCTGGCACCTTCTCCACTGAGGTCTGGATCTCAGACTGGGCAGGGGCAGGGGTTGCTCCTCATGTGCTCGCTCCTAGAGTTCTCTTGATTTCTTACAAGCTAATCCCTTATCACTCCAACCTCCTGTTGTAATAGTAACAAGAATTCCTTACAGGATAATAACTCTTCATACTGAACTTTCCATGTTCAAATCACTATGTGGTTTCAGTCTCCTGGTTGGGCCCTGACTGATACAAAAACCACACAGACTGTCTCATTTCTGGCTTTTGTTTAGGCTATGCACACAGCCGATTTCACCTGGCTAACACGGTATGGTGGCAAAGAGCATCACCACTAGAGCCAGACTACCTTTTTTCAGATCCCGAGTCGAGTACTAGCTGGTGGGAAACCACTTACTCTCTGTGCCTTGATCTCCCCATCTGAAATGGGGATGACAGGATTGCTGTGGGGGTCATATAAATTAATATAGGTAAAGGGTGTGGCATATCACTGTTACGCGTCTTTGATGTTATTAGCGTTAGCTTCTGTAACTCACACGTAAGGGTTCCAGCACCAGGCACCCTCTCTTCTGAGAAGTCCTTCCTGCCCACCTCCCATCCCAGGCTGTTGGGTGCCCCTCCCCTGTGCTTCCACAATGACCTGTCCTTCTCACACCTCTACTGCACTGACCTCACTGTGTTGTCACTGCAGGTTCACCTACCAGTCTCCTCTGCAGGACCGAAAGCTCCACCAGGGCAGGGCAGTCCTCAGGGATCACCATACCTGACTGAGTGAGGGAGTAAACTGTGAGTTCAGGTGCCCTGAGAAGTAGACACTGAGACAGGATTACATGATAAGAGAGGCTCACTGGGGAAATGCCAGTGAAGGACTAAGGGGAAGAAACAGGATTAGGCAGGAGGAAGGGCCTTCTTCACCACAATGTAGGCCTGACACCTGTGAAGGAGAGCGGAAGGAAGGAGGGTTGGGTAGGAAGGGTTCCAAATTTCAGAGAAGTTCTAAGAAAAATCAGCCCAGGCCACTGGGGTGTCCTTGAGCCTTAGACACTCATGGGGGATTCCTAGAATTCAGTGGAGGAGGCCTGCATTAGTACTGCCACAATGATCAGTCCTTGGCTGAAAGCAGCCGGCAGGAGGCAGGGCCTCAGTGAAAATGTGGTGGATCTAGAGGAAGAACAGCTGGGACTGTCAGTCAATGCTGCTCCCACAGCAAATCTGAGCAGCACATTGTCATGACCTGCCCAGTAACTGACAGACTGAAGGTTGGCCACACCCCAGGGATACAAGTCCAAAAGCAGTGATGCCAGAATCTGTCACCTTGATGCAGGGAAAGGGATGCACACCCTTCCCTCCACTCTCGAATAAACCTTTGTGTATATGCATATGTAAATATAGTGTTAAGTCCTTATATATATTGAATGAATAGTCCTCCAGATTTCTACCACAAAACAATGACTTTCATTATCTTATGTTTACATCATTGCAATCATCATGCAAGTGGTACTTCATATTTTTTAAAGGTTCAATATTTATAGTTAATATTTCCATGTTTGTACCATAATCTTCATAATTATACTTTTTCATAACTGAACAATATTCAACAAATAGATGTACCACAATTTCCTAAGTCATTACTGTGCAAGATTTCCATTATTCCTATGTTTTTTGTGTTATAGCTAATGCTCATATACATCTTTGGGTATATACTATTAATTCCTGTTGGATTGTAGCTCTAGGGTAAATTTTTTAAAAAGATTTTATTTATTTATTTATTTTTAGAAAGAGGGGAAGGGAAGGAGAAAGAGAGTTAGACAAACAGCAATGTGTGGTTGCCTCTCCCTTGTCCCCCACTGGGGAACTGACCTGCAACCTAGGCATGTGCCCTGACTGGGAATTGAACCAGTGAACCTTTGGTTCGCAGCCCACGCTCAATCCACTGAGCTACACCAGGGCAGCTCTAGGGTAAATTTTAAGGTTTGAAGTTACTAGATTAAAAAAATGCAATTTTATAATTGTATCAAGTTTTGCCACGTTACTTTGTAAAAAACATGTCAACCGATGATATGTATTAGTTGTCTACTGCTGCATAAAAAACCTTATAAAACTGAGTGGCTTAATACAACCCACATTTATTGTCCCACTACTTCTATGGATCAAGGATCCAGACATGGCTTAGCTATGTCTTCTGCTTCAGGGTCTGTCACTGGCTGAGATGAAGTCGTCGCTGAGCCTGAGGTATCACCTGAAAGCCTGACAGGGGAAGGATTCTCTTTCATGCTCACATGGTTGTCGGGGGCTGCTGGACTGATGCCGTCAGTTCATACTTAGCCCACTGTTGGTCAGACTTTCCATGTGGGCCTCCCCAACATAGCAACTTGGTTCAATACAGCATGCATCCAAGAAGATAGCATTCTGCTAGCAAAGACAAGTCAAAATCTTTTCCAGCTTAATTACAGAAGCAACATCTGCTCAATGTTGCGGTAGTCTATTATTTCAAAACCAGGGGGAACAGGGAAAGACTAAGAATACAGGAGTGGGGAGCAGGGGGGGCAAAGCTGCCTATTACTAATGTCAATAAGAGTGTATGCTCATGCCAATTTCACCACAACCTTACCAACACTGAATGTTCTAGTATCTAAAAATTACCAGCACAGTAGGTGCAAAAGACTATCTCCCATCTTAATGCCCCTTTCTCCAGTCGGGAATTTCCCCCTGGGGCCACCTGGGTCCTGTGATCTCAGCTGCTGCCAAGTACAATAATTTCCCCCAAAGTGCCAACCAATTGTAACCTAAAAAACTGCCCTAACTGGCACTTGAAAAGCTGTAAGCACAGACTTGTATTAGGCAACAGTGAGTTCCCTGTGAGGGTTCAAGTCTCAAGAATTACTGGTATTTGGGCAGCAACTCCAAGGCCTGAACAACCTGGTACTTGTACCACATAAAAATACTAAAATAGAGGAAACCAACCCTCTTTTAAAGCTTACTATATACCCTCACTGGGCTTCACATTTTGCGAACTTTGTTTCATTTTTTGTTGTCAAAACAATGCTGTAAGATACATGTTAATATCCTAATTTTACAAACGGGAAACTTGAGATCAGATGTGAAATCACTTGTTCAAGGTCATTCTACTAACATGGGAGGACCAGGATTTGAACTCATAGCTCTTTCTGCCTCCTACGTTGCCCTCAGCTAGGGCTTCCTAGGACTCTGCCCTTCCACCCCACTCCCACTTCAGGACAAACTATATCTGGTGGCCCTTCCTTGTCAATTAGCTGAAAGGGTCTCTACCATAAGTTCCAGAAGGCTCTGCTCAGTGCTCTTTTCTTTTCCCCCTGATAAAATATGTGAGGCTGGAAAGTCACCTCTAGCCATCATGGGGAGAAAGGCTGCAGAATCCCAGTATAAATTTGTGCTATGAAAACCTCAGGATAAACAGGAAAGTATAAATGTAGGGTTTCGGGAATGGGATCTGGAGCCAGGCTGCTAGCTTTAAATCCTGGTTCTGCCACTTACAAAGCTTTATGATTTGGGGAAAATTTCTTCACCTTTCTGTGCTTGTTTGCTTGCCTGTAAAATTGAAATAATCTCACCAGCTACATGTTGGAATGGGGGGGGGCGGGTAAATTTTTAAAGATGCCTCTAAGAACCCAGCACGGTGTCTGGGCACAATAAGGGCCCATAAACATTACTGTAGGAATGAGGTGGGCAGGAGGCCTCACTAGGTCAGGACCCTCACATCCATCTGGAACCCAGTCTGGGATTGTGCATATGTGGGAACTGGGCTCCAGGTGCATGTGCTGAGCCCCAGGCATGGCCACGCGGGGCCCTGCACTATGGACGCTGGCTGGTGCGGACGGAGGAACAGGGTCAGGGATGGGTAGAGCCAATGCTAGCACCACGAGTCTGCGACTCCCCTCCCTTTATTATGGCTGCGTTCGGATATGCATGTGTGTGGTGAGGGTTGTATTTACCTACTGATGTAGCTCTGAGAACCATGAATGTGTGGGGGGCACAACTCAGTAGAACAATGCCCCCAGGGATCCAGGCAGAGTGCGGATGACTGAGGTACACAGCAGACATCTGAGAATGAAGATGTGGGGCAACATTCATAGGGTGACCACCTGTCACCTGGCCCATCTGCACAGCCTCAGAGCATGTGCTGTGGGTTCAACCCCCAAGCTGTGTGCAGGGGCCTAAAGCCTCCCAGGGTCTTTGAGTAGTCACTGTGCCCTTTAGGAAGTGACCAAGAAGTGTCCTGCTCTCTCCACTGAAATCAGCAATCATGGGAGATCAGGACGACGCCCTGTCCTCAAAAAGTCCCAAGATGTGAAGACAGCTCTGGGGTCACATTAACATTCATACTCTAGCCAGCCTCACTGTAACTGCCCAGGTCTCTCTGTTGTAGCCTAAGAGGCTCATTCACGTATTAAAAAAACGTTATGAAGAACCTCAGTCCAGAGCTGTGAAAAACACACACAACCCTGCCGTTGCAGGTAATACATTTCAGCAGGAGATGCTGAGCCACTAACTCCACAGCAGCCTGTTTAATTATAGTTAGCAGTAAGGGCTAGGGAGAGGTACATGGTGTGCAGCAGGGCATGCATGAGGATGGTTCCTGGAGTCAGGTCCCTGAGTCATCCTGCAGGAGAGCACCTCAAATGAAGGACACAGCCATGGCAAAGGCCTGTGTGTTAAGGAGGGGAGGCATGTAAGGAATCACAGTGCTTATGAGGCTAGCATCCAGAGCTGTGGGAAGTGGGGTACAAGACAACTGGGGAGGTCAGCAGGCCCAGGCTCAGAGATGCAACTTTAGCCAGAAAGCAAGAAGATGCCAGGGGAGGGAGCTGCAGTGGGAGGGTTTCCGATGTTCATATTGCCTAGGCCTGAGCCAGGCTCAGGGGATATGCAGAGGGTGGTGAGGAGGAGGGGCAGCTCACAGATGGAGGCTCTGTGAGCCAAAGTTTGGAGGTGGGGCCATGTAAGGCATACGTGGGGACTGGGAACAGCCCTTGAGTGGAGACAAAATTTGACATGGAATAGTAGACAGAGCCAATTAAGAGCCATTTTAGGGAGCTCACGCCATGTACAATGGGGCTCCCTTATCTCACCATCTGGGCAGGAATGCCCAATGCCACCATCTTGGCTCCTGCAGTATTGACAGTAGTTGGGGTGTAGGTGGGGAGTGGGCCAACACTGTCCCAAGGACCTGAGAGACAGGGTGCTCTGCACACAGTTAACAGTCTGCCTAGGCCTGATATGGGGACCTGCAGGCTGACACAGAATAGAACCAGAGCACTGAGTGCCAGCCCACAGCAAAGGACCCCACAGGAAGGCACAGTTCCCCATCATGCTCACTCTCCTTCACAGTCCCCTGGAGGAACTATGTACGACCACTGAGTGGGCCTCCCATACTGCTGTGTACCCTTCCCTGAGTTACACTGGCATCAGGCCCAAATTCTTCAGCTATTCCATGGAAAATAAAACAATCAACAAAAACAATATAGGAAGCCTGACTTGTTGATCATAATTCTCCTTACCATGCACACTTAAGTCTTCTGTGCAAAGATCAAAAGTGGGGTCTGCTCTGTCTATCGCCAGAGGGCTGAAGGAAAACAAACTGGCCAAAGATGTGGGACACCAGGCCAGGTCCACTATCTACCTCCACCCTGCTCTGTAAGCCAAGTTCATTCATCCCATCTCCATCTCCCCTTATGCCCTCACCTCACTCCCTCTGCTGTCCAAGCCCAGAGAATGCTCTGTATCACACTGGTGGCCCCCATCCCTGCAGGGTCATGGCAATGGTTTGTTCCTTACCCTTTGGCCAGAAATCCAGCCAGGTCTCCCTCACTCTAGGTCTGGCCAGTTTCCAGCAACACCTCCCCTTCAGGACTAGGGGTTCTCCTGGGGCCCACCACACCTTGTTGGCTGCCCAGCCTTCTCTGAGCATGCCAGCTATACTGGACACATCACTCTTAAAGCCCCACCGAAAACTCATTATTTCCAGCCTCTCAGGCACACAATAGCTTCTCATCTTGGCCTCTCAAAGCCTTTAATCTCTACCACAGTAGAAGGAAATTAGGATCTGACCAATAGGAAAACTATGCTGTAGTTCTTCACTGTAAAAGTGTTTACATCCTACCAGTACCTCTGGTGGTGAGATGTGTTCTGACCCTTAGAGCCCACTGGTATTCAAAGACCAATAAACATCCTGTTTATTTATGGAACACCCTTTCTGCCAGGAGACCCCACAATCCTGCCAGAAATTTACATCATTCCCCATTTTACAGTGGAGAAAACCAAGGCTCAGATTCATAAAGGGATGTGCCCAAGGGTGCTGAGATGATCAGAACTGGGCTAGGGTATGATCTAGGCTGTTTAACTCCAAAGCCTATGATTTTTTCTGACACTGGCCTGTGGGTGCGGAAGCAGAAAAAGAGCCCCCAGTGTCAATGGCAGGGTCATGCCTGCATGAGCTGGAGCTGCCTGTGAGATGGGCCCCTCATGAGCGGCCTGAGTTGAGTGTTGCCCTCCACATTTGTAGCAAAGAGTCCCGGCGGGTCGTGTAAGGTAAATGTTTGATGCGGAACCAATGTCTGGGAACAACATTCCCACTGGGAGTATACAGCTTCTCTCCAGGCCTGCCCAAGAGACTGCGCAGGGCCAGGTTGCCCGACAAAACCTTCTCATAGAACTCCACTCCACCCAGGGAATAGGCTGTAGACAGGGAGGCTGTGCGTTGGTCCAGCCAGGCTTCCAGGGCATGAGTAAGCGAGTCGGTGAAGAAGGCGTAAGCCACAAAGCCCGCCACTGCTGCCACCAGGTTGAATGCAGCCCGTAAGTTCATGGGGCCTCCATAGAGCCCCAGTGCATGCTTCGCACCCACGCTCAATGCCCAGGTTCCTGCTAGGCAAGCTGGGGCCACCAGGGCCTGCAGGGCAGCGGCACTGCTCTCCAGGTACACCACCTCCCTGGCCAAGGCAAACTTCTGAGCATCATGAGACAAAGTTATGGCATCTCTCAGCCGGGTACCTTCTGGGCTCTTCCAGTCCACTCTTTGCCCATGTACAACCACAGAATGGTTGGTGTTGGTCACTGGGTCACCCAGGAAGCTGGCAGGGATGCCCACCACAGCTCCAGCAGGGAGTCTTGGGAAGCCAGCACTCACAGGCTGGAAGGTAAAGGTGGTGAAGGCATCATAGCAATGGCCTGATGGGACACCTATGTCCTCTAGCACCTCTTGGAAGAGTCTCTGTAGCTTTGGGGAGAGTGGGGCTGGTTGGCCCTGAGGCCAGTACTGGTATAGCCATTGAACCACAGGATCTGGGAAAAGATGGTACGAGATTTGGACCCCAAACAGGCCTGCACAGGAACCCACCAATAAGCCTGTCCTGTGTCTCTGCACAAATGCTGCTGCCCGCCACAGGGGACCTGCCATGAACGCTGCCACCGATGTAAACCTGGGCCAAGAAAAAGAGAAGTCAGCCAATAGTTCCCTAGGTCTGCCTGCTGACTGAACACCCTCCCAGGCTACATCCTTTTAAACTAGGGCAATACAACACAGTGGTAAGGGCCTGAGTTCAAATCTCAGTTCCATCTCTGTCTATCAATCTCTCCAACTGCCAAATAGGCATGTGACAATGGCCCACTGCTAGGGTGGCTGTAATTAGTAAACAAATAAACGCATGTAAAATGTCTGGCACAGTAGTGGACACCCTTGTGATAATATCTGTGATTATTATTTTTATTCCCATAGCACTGAGTACTCAACTGCATCACTCCACTATTCATCCACAGTGAAGTGCTATGACCACTAATTTACAGATGAAGCACATGTTCAACTTATTGAGTATGACTGTATACCAGACAGTTCTGACAGCTTCACATTTATTACCTCACAACTCCATGACCTAATTACTACTATTGCCCCTATTTAAAGCAGTGAAAATGGAGGCACAGACGGGCTAAGTAAATTGGTTAAAATTCCAAACTAATAAAATGGCAGTTAAGGGCTGAATTAAGCAAATTCATATACTTCAGTCTTAACCCTCCTCCTCTACCTCCAAATATGACTGTATTTACACATGGGGCCTCTAAGGAGGTAAGTAAGCAAAAATAAGGTCATTAGAGTGGGCCCTAATTCAATATGATGTCCTTATTGAAAACATGAGATTAGGACACAGACACAGGAAGGACCCTGAGAGGTGACAAGGCAGAAAGTGATCCTCTATGAGCCAATGACAAGTCTCAGAAGAAACTAGCTCGGCTGACACCTTAATTTGGGACTTCCAGCCTTTAGAATCATGAGAAAAATAAATTTCTGCCACCGAGTACATGTCATGGCAGCCCTCGCTGACTACTACAGGCACATTATCTGAACACAGGTTGTCAGGCATTCACAGCAAACTTCATTTTAGAAAAAAAGTTTTAATGCCAAATTGCAAACATATACAAAAGTAGATAAAATATTACATTAACTTCAATCATCAACTCCTAGTCAATCTTGTTTTACCTCTACTCCCACCCACATTCCTTCATCAACTAGTTTATTCTGAAACACATCCCGGGGGCATCCCATTATTTCAGAAAAATTCACAATTACTTAACTTTGAAACTTACTGTCTTCCTGTCTGTGAAGTGTTTAATTGGCAAGTAAGTTACTGCAAATAAGAACGCGGGGGACTTATTTTAATTTAAAAAATCCTAAAAAGTCACAAAACTTGGCCCTTTTTTCCAATGAGAAAGCAGCCTAGCTAAGGAAGGGTCCTGGCCTCGGTAACAAGGCCCCTAGGCCCGCCCGCGCCACGGCCGCGCGCTCCCGGTTGGCCTCGAAGCCAGTGCCACGCACTCCTCAGGCAGCTGTGAGGAGAGGAGTTGCGTTAACCTCACTGAGGAAGGCCCGCTCGGCCTCCATCCAGGCCCCCCGAGGCCACGCCCGGGGTTCCAGCGAGTAGCCCAGGGCGGGGGTTCACCCGACCGCGCGCGCTCACCTACTAGCCGTGGCCGGAGACGCCGCAGGCGTGCGCCGGGTTGTGCGGGAGGGAGTCGTTGTGGGAGGGGACTCAGGGGGCGTGGCCGGGCGCAGAGAACGCCGGGCCAGGGCGGGAGGCTCCTCCCCAACTGAGCGCTTTGGGCGCTCAGAACCTGCAAAGATCTGGCGGTGGGTCGGTCGCTCAGTTTAGCTGTTAAGCAAACGACGATCTGCGTGGTTTAGGAGGCAGCTTGGAAGAAATCCTCCATTGGAGACCATGCCCGCCTGACTGCGGGGTCCATGTGACTTTTCCTGTGTGTTAAGCTCACCGCCAGCGGGTGCTCTGGGCTTCATTTTATTTACCACATCCTTTGCTCCCGCACTCCAATTCCTCTCAAGTGATTCACCTTGTACAGTCCACAGAGCAGCGTCACATCTGTCACCTCATCTTGCCACAGCTCTGAGTAGGTCAGGAATGGGCTTGCCTGTGCACCAGGCTTGCCACCTATTTTTGTAAGTAAAGGTTTATCGGAATATAGCCACAGCCATTCCTTCACAAGTTGTCTTTGGCAGAGTTGAGGACAGAGTTGAGAAGCAAGGACAGAAAAGGCCTGGCCCAGGAATCTTAAAATATTGACTAATCCCTTCCAGAAAGTGTCTCTGGGCCTTTGCAACAGATCTTTCCCATTTTATAGATTAAGAAACTGAAACATTTAGCTTGAGCAGGGTACCTAGGTCTCATATACCATAATAGAACAGGACTCATTACCTGTGAATTTCCCAGTTTAGCTCCTGCCTTCATACTGTTAGAGGAAATTGGCAGTTATTTTAAAACAGCACAGCACCCAGAGAATGACTTGTTCATGGCTTTTTTTCCTTTGTTTCTTGCTTGTCCCTGTGAACCAGAGACAAGGATTGCTCCTGTGTGCTAGAGATGACATTTCGTTTTTTGCTTCTGTAAGCTGCTTCTTGCTTTCTCACCAGAAGTAACAGTCTGAGTGACAGACCACCCTCACCCTATATAAGCAATTCCTCCCCGCTGATTGGGGCCCAGAATTTGGAGACGGCCTCCTCTGGGTCTGCATGTGTAATAACGGTTCCACTTCGCTTCCTCCAGTGTATGGTCTGAGTCTTTCCCGTAACAATACAAATTCAACCTATTGAGTCTTGCTAATTTTCCCAAGTGGGTCTGGCTTCTGTGTTTGGCTTTCTCTCCCACCCCAGGAAAGTGGGGAAGGAGGGCTTAATATCTGGACAGAACGGTGAGGATGAAAGGAGACCATACAGGTGCATACAGGGGCATATAGGTGTTGGGGTGGGGCTTTGGAAGATGAGCAGCCTGTAGACTGTTGTGTCTCCAGACAAACCACCAACTCAGCCCTCTCTACAGGGCACCTGACCACACAAGGACCAGCTGCAGTGGGCCATTTGGGATCATACTTGATTGCCTGCTAATGTTTTGTGTGTAGCTTCCTTTGGGAACACTTTGGGGTCAGCATTCTGTGTTTCAGGCTTGGCTCAGCAGCCCTTTTTGATATCATGGACTGGTCAGGCAAAGAGATCTCTGCTGACACTAGAGGAGAAACCCGACCTGGTGTGGCTGCCCCTGGACCTGGGCCAGCTTCAGCCTAAATCAGTACTTAGGAAGACTGAAGCTCAGGGAAAGAGACCTTCTTTGGAGGCTCTGTGGTAAAAAAAAGGTCACCCACCCCTCTGGATCTCCATTTCCTCATCTGTAAAGTGAGGAAAATATCTGTTTCAAAGGGCTCTGTTACACTCTAACCCTAGAAACCACCTTGGCACTCCATTTGCATGACAAAGAGGTGAGAGAATGATACTTCAAGTCAACTGTTCCAGAACAGGGCTTGGGGTCTTCCTTCAATCTTGGCTTTGAAAGGCACTCTATCTGTCCCCAAACTTCTGTGATCAGCTGTAAATCTGGCAACCGTGAACAGCACAGATGCTGGAGTCAGATGGCTGGGGTTAGGTCTGGCCCCACCCCTACCAGCTGTGTCACTTTGGGCAAGTTAACCTTGCTGGGCCTAGTATTCTCATAGATAAAATGGAGATGAGAATACCAAGTACTTCCTAGGGTAATTGTATAAGATTCAATGAGTTCATGTATGTATAGTGCCAATGCAGTCTGTGCCATATAACTGTTAGTTATTATTAAGATCTGTTCTGGTTCTGAGATTCCAAGTTTGGCTGCTCAGTTGTTTGTATGTAAATGGAGCTAAAAATCTTTTAATATGTAACCTCAGCCAGGTCCAGAATGTGGGAAATACCTGATGAAGCAAGTGATGTGGTTTTTCTAACAAATCAATGACATGAAAAAGATGGAGGGAAAGGAGACTGTTATGAAGAAGAGACTCGAAAGACAGCAGTTAAATGCAATTTGTGCCTTTTGTTGGGATCCTGAATCAAGTCAATTTACTAACTGTAAAAAAAAGACATCTTTGAGACAACTGGGAAAAATCTGAATATGGGTTTAGTATTAGATGATATTAATAATCATTTATTTTGTTAGGTGGGATGAAGCATGATGTTTATGTAAACCAAAAAGTCCTTGTCAGAGATGCATACTGAAGTACTTACAGGTGCAAAAACATGATGTCTTTTATTTAGTTCAAAAGATTACAGCCGCCCTGGCTGGTGTAGCTCAGTGGATTGAGCGCAGGCCTGCGAACCACACAATCGCAGTTCGATTCCCAGTCAGGGCACATGCCAGGGTTGCAGGCAGGTTCCCTGCAGGCCAGTTCCCAGCAGGGGACGCACGAAAGGCAACCATACATTGATGTTTCTCTCCCTCTCTCCTTCCCTTCCCCTCTAAAGATATATAAATAAAATCTTTAAAAAAAAAAGATTACAGCCAAAACAAAACAACCATGAAAACCAGGGATGTTGGGAGCCGACCAACAGCCATCCCTTGACACAGTCGGGACAGATGAGATGCATCTGCACAGCAGAGGCAACTGTGGCTGGACTTCCTATCTCTCCCTTGCATGTTTGTTGTTGAGATTAATAGGTGGTGGAATTTTTAGACACCTGCATTTCAGGTCCAATGATCCACATAATTCCAATAAAGTTGTACAGAATAATTTCTTGGCCAGAGAACAAAGTTCCTCTCTAATGAAGTAGCCCCTGAATATCTAAAAGTTGGTGGAATAACAGCCCCTCCTCTACCTTGGACAGGAATATATATTAATTAGAAGTAGACAGGCAAAGAAACAGGAGAAGCTGGTTAGCTACTAAAAACTAAGCACATAGAAACAACTACCAAGGAGTTAGAGTCCATATTACATAAAGAAACATTTTAGACAGAAAGATAGCTAAGTTAGACATCACAAAGGCCTTATAATGAATTTCCTAACCTCTTCTCAGTCTACCATACCCTTTTGCCCCATGTCAAATTCTAAGAACTTTAATAAACAATAAGACATTCAAACTCTGAACAAAGAGCTATTTCA